TAATTGCCACTTGATGTGCACAGGATAAATGGAAAACATTGGTGCACACTGCAACAATCTCCCCGCAACAAAGGAGAGGAGAACCGGTGCCTCAGGAGCTCTTGGACAGAGTTTTGGCTGCTCATGCATTCTGGTCTCAGCACCAAGCCAAGCAGCATGGGAAACATCAAGCTGGATCTGGAACCTTGAAGATTACAGAAGCCTCGGCTGAAAGACCGTGTGTTTGTTGAAGATGTCTAGTTCAATGACTTGTGATATGATGGTGTAGAAAGGTGTGGTGGTGTTGACAGGAAAAAGAGGAAGACAAACTTGTACATTTTCATTCAAATTCATGTAATATTCTTACACCAAATTCTTTGCCGGCCATTAATTGCATGCAGGTTGGCATTTGTAAATGATTTGATGCAATAAGATTGTTCTAACAGGAACTTTACTGTTCTTTGATTTGTATTTTATTCTTTTTACATTTATGAATGTATGTAGAAGTGTAAAAAGAACATAGAACATGACAGACAGCCAAAGGAAAGGTGAAAAATGTTCTTTTTATTTTCCTTCATTTCACACATTGAAATTACTCTTCCCACTTGTTTGATTATCACTCCATTTACTGAACTGGTACCTTTTTACTAGTGTGTTTGTTCTGTTTTGCTTTTCATGGTGAAGATATACTATAATCAAAGATTGATGAAAAAATATATTTTGAAAGTATTCAATGATTGAATGTGATTCCTTGATGAATGATTAGTGTTACCAAATGAATAGCATAATTATTTGTGACTTATTTGTTTTTGGTGAAAGAAAAATTGAAAGCATATCTTAGAGTACAAAATAGTTAAATATATATAATCTGAGGGGCAGGGTCCACCATTATTGTTTGTTGTGTTGTGGCTATGATTTCACCTCATAAAAGTAGATGAAGACAAAGTGGTCTTGTGGATATAGCAGTTGTAAGGACGAATATTCCACCTCCTTGAAGGATCCTTATCCACAGCTTGCACGAAACTCTATGTGCACGTGTTTTCTATAGTTTTTTTTTTCAATTTTATTATTACAACAAATATTGCTGTTGGTGATTGCTGTCAATTTCTGTTAGGAGAATGATATTTTGACAACATTTTTTTGACAATATTTTATCATTTATGTATCTGTGATTGGTTCAAAATTATTCCACAATCAATAATAATAATCATAAACACTAATATGGATCAATCTCATAATGACACGTAAATGATGTTAAAATATTGTTAAAAAAATGTTGTTAAAGTATATTATCTTTTCTTTTATTATAGAGATTGGGTGTACACTAATTATAAAATAGGCTATACAATTTTATAAGTATACACGAATTTCACTTTCATATAATAATAATAACTTTTAAATATTTTAATAAAAATATTATATATATATATATATATATATATAATTAGTTTAAAGAAGAAACATAATTTTAAAAATAGTTTAAAGAAAAAAATCATTTAATCCTTTGATAAGAAGTATCCATTACATGATTGTGATAACATGTAACTTTTTTCATCCTTAAAATAATTTCCTATGTTTATATTATTATATAAAAATGACTTTTTCAAAAATTATTCTAATATTTTATAAAAATTATCAACTAATGATACATGAAAACGTTTCACATGAGAACGTTATAACATAATAACTTGTTTGTTGAGAAATTATTTTATATAAAATGATATATTGTTACATCCCATTAAAATAGTATAAATATTATTAAGCAACTATCACAATATCACTACAATAAATTAGTTTTACTCAAGAAACATATAATAGACATCCATACATTTATCTAAAAATAACTATAAGTCTAACTTTATATACAACACTAAAAGAATTAAAAAAATTATTTATACAAAGTCTTTCAAAGTAAAATTAGAATAGCTAACTACTCTACTCAACTATACACATGCTCACACCAATCAGGTAATCATTGAAAAAAAAAGCCAAACATATCAAACAACCAAACAAAAAACATACAAAGGGTAAGCTAATGTTAAAAGAAACAAACATAAGATATCAAGATTCATCATATATTACATTTCATACAAAGTTAAACAAACATCCTAAGCATACCATGAACTTAGATCTAACCATCCGGATACAAGTATGAATGTCGAGTTATGGTGGGTCATGTACTTGTGATAGTTTCTACTGTTCTGTAGAATGAGTTTCACCCTACCACATACACAAGGTTAGTTCGTTTCACGTCTTAGATCAAGATGAAACACCTAGACTAGGATCTCTTGCTAATCTCACCACATGCATCACCCCTCTATAATTGAGAATGGGTAACCATTAGAATGTTAGGATAACTCTAAGACTGAACTTTCTACATTCATACATACCAAAATTGAAACAACCATTTAGAATTTCACCTTAGAAATTCTTTTCAATTCATAGTTCAAATACATACTTAACATCATGTATAAATCATCATTCAATTCAATAAATACTTTTAAACAAACTTCAATCTATATTATAGTTATAGTTACAAGAACGCTTCCAATCAAACTCTGAACACATCGCTCAACGAAAAGAAAACTTTCTCGCTCAACGGGGACTCTCACCCATCTACTTCTACAACAAGTTTCTCCCTCAAATTAACTCGCTTAGCCCCATAGCCCGCTCTCGAATACAAAAGCTTTAGACTCTAGAAATTCTGCTGAATAACAATGCATAATTTGAACCTACCAACCTTAAATTTTCTAACTTGAACCTAACTCCCAAAATTCATGGATCCAATTTCGACATTTTAAACTTAAATGAAATTCACCAATCTATTTATAACTCAACTTAAACATAACTATACTCATTTTGTCATGAAATTCATCTTTTATACACTAAACCACTTCAACTCTCACAATTCAATTATATCCTTCTTAAGCACATTTTGACCAAACCAACTATCTAAGTAAGTTCTAAATAACTTAAAAACTGGCTTCAAACTTATGTTTTCGTTATCCAACAACTCCTTCAAAATATTGTCTACCAAAACCCCTTTTTAACACACAAAAGACCTACAACTCTATTCAAAATACTACTTCTCCAATTCAACATCATCTTTTTAGTTAACTAAAACCTTATACAAGTTTCAATTGATCAAAAGACAGCTCCCAATCATCAGTTCTCACTTAAAAGCCACTCCTCTATAAACTCACTATCAAAACCCCAAAATTTATCAAAAACAAATCCCAAAACCTCCTCATTTCTCTACAATCCACACCACACCAGTTTTCTACACAATACAACTTTAAAACTCAACATCAATTGATCACAAACCAGTCACATACTACAAACATTATCAACAAAGCCTTCAATCACCAATAACATGCATTTTACCTAGTCTCCATTTCACACATGTTGTCATATATTCATATTTCATCAAATCAATTCAATTTCAATACCATAAAAGCACATCAAAACAAACTATTAGTTTCTACAATTTTATAAACAAACAAATTAACTTCCCTTACCTAGTTGGAAGGCCACAATAGCTCTACAAAGCACATTACTCCTGAGTCAGCTCATATAACTCTAAATGTACCTACAGATCATAAAATCATGATCTGAGTAGGTCCTTAAGACCATTGATCGACAAAGAACTAACAAGATAGAATGAATGACACATGCGAGGAATCTTCTTTGCACTTGTCTTAAACTAAAAAACTAAAGAAAATGAGCAGAAATTGACTTACTGTATAGGGAAGACTGATCAGTTGAAAGTAGATAACTCATTGTCATGATCTCCTAAACACTTCTTGATCATCAAACATATGTCTTAAGAGTTATAATTCTTACATATAAAGGATATAGAACTTAGAGAATAAACTTTAGAAAAATAACAAATATTTTAAATAATAAGACATGTTTATGAAATTTTATTTATATTATTGAATTATTTTAATATTAAATACTCGATCTTATTATTTTAAAACACATGTCATCTCTAATACTCCATTTTTTATATCCTTACCTATATATTGAATTTATAGATGGAAACAAAATTTTAAAAATAATATAAAATTAAAAAAATCATTAAACCAAGAAAATATATATCAAACTTAATATATGGTATACATAATTAGTATATGAGGTGTTAAAGGAATTTTGATATATAAAACAAATTTAAGAAGCAAATAGTGTTGAGGGTTGACTCTTAAAAGAAATCTTAATAAAAACAATTAATCATTTGATCATTGTCTAACACTATAAAAACAAAAATCAATTGATAGAGCTATGTGAAAAAAAATATAATAATATGGATTGATCTGAAAATTATGTGAAAAAGAAATATAATAATACTATTGATATGAAAACTGACTATTTTTCAAGTTATAATTGACAAATTAAAAAAGCTTGCTATTGCGGGTTGATTTTTTTTAATGCTTTGTAAAAGATAAAATAAAATCAACGGGCCATGGTGTCTGTTCCAGCCTGCACCTCTTTTTGTTGAAAAAGAGCGGGTCCAAAACCTTTTATGATGAGTTTTTATTTATTTAAAATTTTCTACCAATTCTCACACTTTACTTGTTTTAATGGCAGTCACATAACTATTAATTATTTTAAAGCATAAATATTTTTATTATCTTGTTATGATTATTTAATTTTAACAAAATTTTGATATAGATAAAATAATTGTAATTCAATAGTTTGCTAGATAAAACCAACTTTTTTTTACATAAAACTTTGGTAATGTAATATATATTTAAAAATCAAAGTCAACAAATTTTGTTATTAAATGAATACAAAAAAATATAACAATTATTATGAGGGTTAATATTTTTTAAGTTGTGCAGGTTTAATTGGATTACCATAATTTCTTGTTTTTAATTTTTTTTTCTGAACTATTATTGGATGATGACTGCACTTATTTTTTTGGCTCCCTCTAAAATTGGGGATGGAAACTTAGAAAATGTGAAGGAACTTGTAAAACTGAGGACACAATTTCTCATAAAATTGGGATGCAGAATTTACAATTTATGTGACAAGCTTGTAATTTATTAAACTTTACACTGTTGTACCATTATTACATTGAAGAATTTAGATGCCGACTTCCTACTCGGTAAGTTCCTCGTGTTTGATGATATATGACAGTATTATGTTTTTTTTTTTCATATACAGATAATTAATTACAAGATACTGAGATAGCTTTGTTTCTCTTCTTGTTCTTGTCCCATTATGGATCATCGAATTTGAGTACGCCCCAGTGACCAAAGGCCTGTATCCTTAACAGGAGCCTGAAAAAGAAAACAACATCATGAATCATAGGACAAAGAATTTGAGTTAGGAATTGAAATTGGTCACATTGCTTACAGGTGCTTTCATTGAAGGGAAAATATTCCAGAACCGGAGAGTCTCATCCCCTGCTCCAGTTACTATTGTCTGCAATTGTTCCAATAAAATTAAAATGTATACAAAAAATGAATAATTTCTTTTCAACTATGTTATGTGGGAACATTCAGTACCTGACCATCAGGTGACATTGCAAGGTACAGCACTCTCATGCTATGGCCAGTTAGAGTTGCAACCTGTTCAAAATTTGTCCATAAGTTTACACAGACAAATAGTTTTCTGATTGTAGTTTATCTATAATATGTAGAATTGTCAAAGCAAGTACCTTTGCCAATGATGGATACTTCCACACCATAATCTGATTTTGGGAGTATCCGTGTGTACTCACTAGCTCATTCACATTTTTACTCCAAACAAGGTTGCAGACCTGCATATCATGCATTAAAGTGGTTGAGTTGAGATGTTTTTTTGTTTGAGTATGGATTAAATGTCTCAGTGGACAAAAATAGAAAAGAAATAAACCTGGCTCCCAGTGTCAACACTGTTTAATTGATGGCCATTTGTAGTGTTCCAAAAACGAATGCACCTATCAGCAGTTCCACCGCCAGACACAAGGAGACCGCTTTGGTGAGGTGACCAAGCAATGGCCTTAACTGCAGCAGTATGTTCTGTGAGTCTCAGAGTTGGTTGCTGAGAGTGTTGATTCCATACCAGGAGCTGATCATATAATAAAACATAACATGAAGAGCAAACACAAAAATCTTAACAAGAAATACAGAATAAAGAACTTTTTTCTTGACTTGGTAAAGAAAAGGAAGAAAAGTATACCTGATTATCATTACCACCAGAGGCAAGTTCCCTGTCATCACAGGACCATTTCAATCCACATACCTGCCACAAATTGAGGGATAACAGTTGTTAACAACTTCTCATATTCAAGTTCAATCTATATTCCTCAAAATATTTTTACCTCTGACTTGTGGCCAACGAGCTTGTTAATAAAGTCCCCTGAAACCCTCATGTCATGCTGAAGTATGTTCCTATCCCTGCTCCCTGAGGCCAGAATGCGAGAGTTCCATGCCAACACACCAGTCCTTGTCTGATGTCCTCCCATAGTTCTGACCTTCTTACACTGAGTTCCATCCCAAACCTGTATAGCATAAAGCAAAGTGTATCTTCTTTATTTCTTAATCATGAAATGAAACAATTCATGGATGAATAAACAAAAATCTAGAGTGAGACAAAGTACCTGAACTTGGCCAAGATTTGTACCAATTGATATAAAAGAGCCCTCCCGGGTCCACTGGACAGAACATACACCATCATAAGGACCCAAGTCACATAGCTTAGTCACCTGAAAACCACATAAATATATTTTGCTTTAGATTCTTCGTGAGAGGAGTTTTTGGTCAATATGAAATTGTTGGTAGCTCACTTTACTGTTTGAAGCGCTCCAAAGATAAACACAAGTGCCTAGTCCCACAGCAAGAACATTCTGTGAGGACCAGTCCACTAGATTCAAGTAAAAGTCATCCTGAAGTGATGGAGCATCCAGAACCTGCGTAATGCACAACCTTGTTCGATTTTAGCAATCAACAATCAAGTTCAGTAATCCAATATATATACAGTGGGTTTAAGTTTGTTCAAGCTACATTAAGGACCAATATATATCTCAAAAGCTCAAGTTTGGCATGTGTAACACAAGAACAGAAGCATGAGATTACTTTCAGAGCTGAAATTCAACTTCACTGAAGAAGCCCAAAGCTTGAATTGTTTGTTAAAGGCTCATGATCAACTTTGTATGTAACATAATGGTAGAGAGTGGTACACATGTAACAAACGGGACATCCTATACTCTCCCTATACTCTCTTAGGGAGGATGGAGCTAACGGCAACGTCCTAATAACAATAGTGTTACCCTAATATCCTTCTTTAATTGTTTCCACTACAGTTTTTCTAGATCTTCCTCCACTACAAGAAATTCTTACATTGTCCAAAATCACCACATGTACGGTCCTAACAAATCTCCATATTACAAAAATTGTCATTGTACAAGGATTGGATAAAATTCAGGAGATTAATAAGATCTATGGTTATGATTTGACAAACTTGCAGTGGGAAAATTATTGTATTATCTGAGATCGCCATTATACATGCATGCACAAAGCATTCCGCCAACTCCATTCATGACAGATATAATGTACTAGTTTTATTTGCAAACCCATGTATTTCTGTCGCCATTTCTACCATCAATAGTAAATATTAATCCGAGAGCACTGAGATCCCTAGGGTTTAACCCTTACAACGAATTGACTTTCCCAAGAGAAAGGTTATCTTCCACACTCACAGTCAATGCATAACAAGCTCACCCATTGCCACAGTTGTCCCAAAAATAGGAAGAAAAAGAGACCAAAAGTGTTTTTATTCAAAATCACAAATTTGCATGCCAAGAAGAATAGATACATTGAAATGAATAAAAGGGAAAAAAAGAGCTTGCCTTGTGGGGTGTCTTGGGGACTTTCCGGGGTGGTTTGGGGGGCGGAGTAGAGGAATCAGAACCGAAGGTACTCTGCTGCCCCAAGATGGAAGGAGAGTAAGGGGAGGAAGGCGCAGTGGAGTGATCGGTCTTGAAACGGAGCATGTTTTTGCTGGGGCTGATCGGCGAGGGAGGAGCACCTGCAGAAGGAGAAGAAAGAGAAGAAGGAGAAGCAAAGTCAGATCCAAAGAGTTCGCGTTTCAACAACCTGGAATACGCCTCGTTACTCCCTTCCTTCACCGGCGATGGCCTATCTACGAGGCCGAACGTGTGGAGGCGTGAGGAGGAGCGGCAGGGGATGAACCTGTCGCTGCATGTGCTTGATTTCGAAGGTGAAGTAAGGTTAGAGATGGAACGGAGAGAAGAAGGAGAAGTGAGGCTGGCGATGGAACGAGAAGAAGATGGCGATGAAGCAAAAGTGTCAAGGCGGAGTGAGGTTCCGGACATCCCAGCTGGGAGGTTCAGACCCGATTTCTTGGTTTGAGGAGACTCCATTTTCAGCAGCTTCTACTGTTGGATGAATGAAGAACAGAAGTAAGAGACGATAAACAATGCTAGAGAACGAAGAAAAAACCCTTTCTCTCTGTTTATGTGAAAGAAAACAAGAGATCAAGATAGAAAAAACAGAGAGGGAGAGAGAGACAGAGTTTTGGTTTTAGTGATGATGGAAATGAAGAATAGTGACTTATTATAAGTTCAACGGTCGAATTTCTGAGGAGCGTGGGAAGAGAAAAGGAAAAGATAAAACAGCTAGGTTTTTGGTGTGCTCGTAAATTTATTTCCTTATAAGAGATTTTCCAACGGTCATTTATTCATTTACTTATACTGCATATAGGTGAAGTTTTTTTTTTTTTCTATGATGTTTATTTTATTTTCAATCAACTATTAATTTAGTGTATGTAATGTTATATTTTCTTTCAAAATGTTTTTGAAATAATGAAATTATTTTAAACATAAATAATGAAATTATATAGGTTGTAATTAAACATCATACTATACTATAACAAAATGCGACATACTCCTCATCATTTTTTTTAAATTATTAATCCTTAGTTTCAGTAAAATGTACTGAATTATTTAGGGGAGTCAATCATACTTAAGAGGTTACAGTCATTTTCTTTAATATAAGATTGTGGGAATTCAGGATTTTTTTTTTCAAGTATCGGTTTATAGCACAAATGTGTTTTGCCTTTTTTTCATAATTATTTTTAGGGATTTTTAATAGTTTTCAAGTGCTAGATTTGTTGGGAGGATCTCATACAATCATGGTAATTATTGATTATGAATTTGTAAATGTTTAAGAAATCATAGACATGTTTGAAAAAATATGTTTAAAAAAATATCAAGTGATTATGTTTGCAAAATTTTAGATATTTGAAAAACAATAATCAAATTACGTTGGAGTGATTTGAAATACAAGATTAGAAGGATTTCTTGCAATAATTATGAGTTGGTGTCTTTTCCATTTATTAGACTTTTTATTTTGGGATGTAATAACTTTTTATTTGACTTAAATAATACAATCACCAAGAAAAATATATTTTAAATAAAAATTAAAATGTGATAGTTGTATTTTAGATTTTTTTTAAACTATTTTACCATCATTGAAATTTAATATATATAGTCAATGTTTTAGTTCCTTCCCAATTATTTTATGTTTCATATGCATCTATATACAAGTAAAACGATTTTCTTCATTTTATTTCTTTCTTACATTCTTTTACAAGTTTTGTTCCAATAACCTATTGTTTTTTCGAAATCTTTTATCTCATTCCTCGTATCTTTCAAGAATAAGTTTATCAATTCAAAATATATCAAGTTCATGATCAATTTTTTTATTATAGTAGTGGATGTTTGATTTTTTTATTTTTCCATCTTGTATTCCATTTAAACTTGGATTCATATGTTAATTCTAAGTATTGAAAGGAAAGATTAGATCGAATTTATTGGATTTGGAAATGTGTTTTTATTATAACTGTTTGGGAAATTGATATTATTCTTGTCAGTTTATTCGTGTTCTATTCTTAGTATGATTTTTTTGGTTGTATTTAGTATAATAGCACATGAAGTTGGAGGCCTGAAGGACTTCTGACACATTTAGGAAGTTTTGGATATTTTGAATTTCGTTAAACCCTATTAAATAAATTACTTTATAAGAAGGTAAATAATTTGATTACTTCAGAGTATATTATTATTTATTCTTCTGAACCACCTTTAAATCTAAATCATAAGTTAAATATATTAAACGGTATGTTCTATGTATTTTTTTTTAAACACCAATCATTCGTTATTTTTAATGATTTAAATAAAGATACTTTATAATAACGAAAACTAGTTTCATCCTTAATTTTAGTTTATTATTTGTAACACCATCTAAGTATTAACATGATAGTCTTGATATAGTATTTTTATTTTTGTTTAAATGTAACATGTTTCTGTTTTGCTTTAATGATGTTATTGAAATACGATAAGGTCAGGCTTGAATTTGCAACAGATCTCATATTTTTCATTATTATTTGGTCACATTTCTAATATAAAAAAATCAATACAATAAATCAAATAATTTAATTTTTATAGTAATGACACGATTTTTTAGCTAGAAATGAAGAAATATTTTATTTATGCAAACGAGACTCGATATCTTAATTAACACATGACGGTCTAATTTGTTAGAGGGAAGTCTCTTAAAAGCCTTTCTAATCAAGTGCAAATGAAATTTGACATAATTTAGATAGTCATAATTTTTTATTAGCACTGATATCATATTTATATATGGTTATTTGTTTAATAGACAAATCTCAGCTTCAGAATGTTATGAATTGTACAAAAATTATGTTTAAATATGAGTTTCATTATAATGCATGATTATATCTATAATTAAAAAAATTAATATTATATGTTGTGGATAATATTAGAACGACAACTATTAAATAGATTAACGAAGGTCTAGAATGCAGTATACTGTTGTCTTTGCCACAGGTATGAAACGTGGTAATGTGATTTAAATTAATCTTTCAACAAAATAAAAATGTTTAACACGTTATAAGACAAATAAAACAAATTCAGTAAGCACAGGTAACATCAATGCTATATGAATTTATGCAACAAGACGATATTCTGTAAATTGAGGTATGATTTACAATGAATATTTTAGTTGATAACTGCGGAGCCAGTCTTCACCCTTTTCAAAATAGTCCATCCTACTGAAGGTTTGAGAATGGAATTGTGGGATTGTTGCATATGCAGCAGCACCACGCCATGCATCCATAATAGGATCCAATGCTCTGACAACCTTAATGGGTGATCCACATGGTCGAATCATCCTAATTCCGGCTTCAAGCCGTTCAATCATGCCGGGGAAAATAGAACTTCCACCAGTCACAAGTATGGAGTTTGTCAGTCTCTTTTCCAGCTCTTCATCCTTACACGATAACCTTCTTATTGACACCCCAGCCATCTCATCTAGCCCTGCTTGATCAACTGCCATCCAGTTTGGATTGAACAAAATTTCAGGGCATCGGAACCTTTCCACACCGATAACAATTTGAAAATCTTCTTTGGTTAAAGAACGACCACGTGACGCCTCAGCAGGTTGAGAGCTACCAATTTCTGGCTTGGGCACGAATGTTGGATCCAAGTCCTACACCAATGCAACAATTCAACAAGATTTTTGTGAGTCATCATAAGCTTTTGCGGAATCCACACAACACGTTAATATAGCTAACCTGCAGCTTGGAAGAGATGCGAGCTAGCTCAGTGTCATCCTCATCTGGTCCCTCGTCACCATCATCTTTATCTTTACTCATTAATTTGTAAAGTTGCCAATCTTCATCTTTGGCACCGAATGTATCTTCACCCTTACCGCGATCAAAGGCAGCAGTTGTTAAGAGCCGCATTCTCTCCCTCTGAGCAGCACTGAGTCTCTCACCACGACCAATGCCACCAGACAAGTTATTTCCATTGGAATGATCTCCGTTTGTCTTGAGCCGTTTTCTCTGGTCAACTTTCTCTGAAAGGTCTTTGTACTTGGCACGCAATTGTTCCAAGTAAAGCTCTGGGTTCTCTCTATAGTAAGAAGAGCCAGCCAAAAAACAATCAGAAAGGTTTTAAAAGCACAACAGAGAACAACAACTTGTAAGCACTTAAACCTTGGTAAGACTAAAGATTTTATTCATGTTTTGTACAACAGCCATAGCCTAATCCTTCTCTCCCTTGATAAGATACCAAGTAAAGAAAGTTTTTTTTTTTTTTTTTCCATTTTACCAAGTAGAGATGATGATAAGCTTTTTGACTCGCATAAAACATACAGGCGTTTTTCCTCCTCTAACTGTTGTTTCCTTTCTCGCTCCAATTCCTCTTCATAACGCTTCTGCTTCATTCTCTGTCGTCCATCTGACATGGATTTGAGTGACAGCTGTTTCTTTTTTTCAACTAGCTATCAACAAAGCACACCCACAAGTACATGGTCAACATCACATCGCACAGAGAACAACTTGATAAGCTAATAGATACAAAACTGACCTGTTCAGGGGAGAGCATGTCGTCAGGGATGTTTATAAGAGAATACTTTTCATTAATGCCGGAGTCAGCTTTTTCGGTTTCAGCTTGTTCACTCTTTGGTTCACCTTTTGCTTTACGTAAAGATTGAGTAACTTTAATGCGGGCAGATTCTATCTCCTGCCTAGAGACATAACCAGTCTCTGATAGGAAAGATGGAATATCACTGTCTTCAACTTGTTCAAGCTGTTTTAGAAGAAATTCCAAACCATGCAATTCATTTTCCAATTCGTTTATTCTAGAGGACCTCTTTGCCTCAGCCATTTCACGTAATCTTTGACCCTGTCTCTCTCTTATTGCTGCCTTTCTAGCAATCTCTTCTTCAGAAGGAGGCTCCTCCGTAGGGGGTGGAATCCAAGGGAGCTGCCAACATCTGGTTTTTTCTTTAGCCTCCTTAGATTTTTTCTGTCAAACCATTAATGAAGTAAAATCTTAGAAACGGATAAATAGTATATAAACTTAGACTGAAAAGAAGAGTCTTTCCTTACCTGAAACAGTCGAGCTTCAGAAGCATAATCTGGTGCAATATAACAATGTTCCATCTTCAGGTCGTCAACCTTTTCCCATGTAAATCTAGCCCTGCATTGAGAATTTTAAAAGACTAAGAAATACTATGTTTTTATCAGAAGGGTTAATACGATAGCAGAGGAAGGAAGATTTATACTCACATATGATAAGGATATTTCAGTGAAAGAAGTTGCTTTAAATAATCAGTGACATGGAACCCACCAACATTGGTTCGGCAACATCCTTTATATATAGGCTCCCCATCCACAAACTGGAAATAGAGATGTGAAAATTATTATTAAGAGTTATAACACTTCATACACCTGATAAGGTTATCTAAATCAGCAACTATGCAATAAAGCAGAATGGTCATTGAATTTATTTAAATATTTTGATGAATACTTTTCCAATTTATTCAACGGTATTCTTATACATGATTTTTTTCCCCATAGAGGGAAACAGCCTTCATAAAATAAGGTGGGAACATATTTTAGCTTAAAAACTGTTCACACCATCTTTTATAAACTGATGAAAAATTGTGTTAAGCCATTCATCTTTCTAATTTTAAATATTATTTTAGAAGTGGAATGGAAGGAGATTACTGATTCCTAAATCTTCCTGAAAAAGTTTATACAGATCAACAATATTATTAACGACAGAGAACAGAATGTC